TCATGGTGGCGGCAGTACCTGCGTCAGACACAGACGTAGTGCAGCCGGGGCCATCTGTTCGCACCCGCCAGAGGCCTCATGTGGACCCCCTTGGATGACTCTCGGGTGATATGTGGAAACATACCCTCGTGAGAATTGTGAAGAGTGAACATTGCAAGAAGAAGTACCCTTCTAGGCAGTGCCATGTGTGTGCAGTCCACAAGAAGAGTAGGATNCCTCTACTTGGCAGTGGTATCTAATAGTTAGTCCCTTTCTGTCAGCGAGGTCGTCCCTCCTCTGGCAGTGGTACCCAATACTTCCCCATCTACCGGAGGCATTGGAAACTACTTGGGCGGGAAACTTTTTGGCCTAATTTAGCTCAGAGGTCTCCTAGAGACATGAGGTTCTTTTACGTGCCGTAAATCTACGACATGGGACCCATGGCTTAAAGTCCCTCCCGGAGGACTTGTTCCCTGAATTTTTCCACCCTTAAAAATTCCACGACCTCCGCTGGGTTTTTGAACCTGCGTACCTTGAGTCATGAGGTGGGAACGTTACCCCTAGACTACGGAGGCTGCTAGGAGCTCTGGTAAGTGTTCTCCAAAAATTTTAGTTCATAGAATTAATTACATTTTATATTAATTTTTAAAGTGAACAGTGCACAAGTTAGGGTGCTAGGCTTAAAAATTCTGGTCCCCAGGGTGATTTAAATATTTAAACAACCAGTCCGCTATGTGTTAATATCATGCATGATTTCCCACCTAGTAAGGTCACATGACAATGCACATCTTATTTAATGACACCAAAAGAAACACAATAGGAGACTGTTATTTTTAAACTTTTTGTTGAGCTTAGGTTTGATACAATTATGTATTATTTTTACATGAGGAACTAAAGCAAACACTTATATGCATACTCTGTTTATTATAAAGTCTGTAACATAAGTACATATAGCCTCTATATCATCTCAGACTCATGTTCTTCATCAAGGTTGATGCTATTGCTGTCAGTTTTTATGTCACCACCCCTTTCATTTTGAATTACTGGCTCAGTTACTGCTGCCATTGCCGCATTCCTTTGCAAAATCTGCTTCTTATAAACTCTTTTCACCTTATGTCTTTCTTTCAATCTTCAACTGTTATATGCTTTCTGTCACTCAACATCTGCCAACTTCTGTTACCCTCTGAGTTCATATTAATCCTATTAAATTTCACATTACTGGCAACAATATGGTGGTAAACATACTGTCACTTATTTAGTGGTGCACAACTATAGATGGGGTATGGACTGGATATTGGCTTCATTGAAAACTTGAATATACCATTTGGAACTACACTTCAAAGTTCACTGACACACACAGACTAATGTCCTCAGTCTGTAACAGTCTCCATTAGCCGTTTCCTGGCAACAGATTTAACACAGTTGAGATTCTTCAGCTTCCATGGTAATGCCATTTCCGACTGGTTAACACTCCACACCCAAACTCTCAACACCATCTTTCTAACGCTCAACTAACTGCTAACATGGAACTCCAGAACTTGACTGGCTATTCTCAAATGAGCTCTTCTTTATAACCACTTTGCATGGACCAAACAGAAAACATTGTTTATAACAATTCCTCTGTTGTTGCTTGTGTATCCATTGTCACAGAAACTTGTTTATCAAGCCACTGCCTAGCAATGTACGTCTCCTCTGGCTCCACTGTTCCAGCCTTCAGGCGTCATGTCACAATACAGTATAACCTGGGGACCCCATTCATTAATGTATGTATGTATGTATGTATGTATGTATGAATACCAGTCATACTTTTTTTGGCCTCCTGTAAGATTTAACATGTTGAAGCAACTCTGCTATGGTCTTGGCTGGATCTGATGTTGTTTTGTTCTCTCTGAGCCAGTCAGTACTTCAGACTTTGAGTTTGTTGATATTAGTTTATTCAGCAGAATGTAATGATAGATAGAATATATCCATGATCATTCTTGACTCATCTTCTAGACAATTAAAGAAGAATTAATGAACCAGCTTGTGAACACTTCAGTGTTAATTTATGAGTAGCAATCAGAATTGACTTATTGGATTTAAAACTACAACACTGATTTACTCTTTCCTGATCTTGTTGAATGTCACCTGATGAACAGATGCTCTATGAAATTCCACTTAGGTTCCCATAATATTTCTTCTTTCTATAAAAAATGCCTTTAATGACTAAATTTCTACATTGTAACCATAATTCCTTATTATTCTTAGAATAGAGAACTGTGACCCAAAAAGCCCTGTTGTCTCCTCCATAATCTTAAAATCTGCATATTACAGGACATTCCCCTTTGCCATAAAATGAATTTATTATTCAATGGAGCATATCTTCATCAAACCCATTGAAGCTTCTAATGTAATGTTTCATATGTTTCCTGAAGAATCAAATGCCAGATTATACAGTGCAGAAGTGAAGACTTCAATGCACTAGCACTAAGGTGGGTGGCAGGTGGGTTCACTTGTAGCACGATCTCAAAGTTTGTAATTTAATGATGCAGAGCATAAGTGTATTCAGCTTTGGAAACCAATGGTTACAAGTTCCATGTGATGTTTATATGTTTTAATTTCTTCCTTTGTAGGTTTTTAGTTTAATAATTGTACCTTTAGGGATATATATATATATATATACACAAACTTTGTTATAATGTTCCTAAGTGTATTAGTTTTGAAACATTAATAGCAACTAAGATTTCAAATGCTGCTTAATTACTAGTTATATTAAGAGTGAGAAAACTGGCAACCAGGAATTAAGTAGAGGCCTAAAGATGCAGAAATAGTGTACTCAACCCATTCTGCAAGCATCATATACATATAAATATACAATGTTTAGATTCAACTGATGTCATTGCTGTACAAGCTGACTTACAGACTACAGTCAAACTATTTGACTCCAGTGGGGAAGAGTCAACTTAATGGTGAAAGTGCTAGAAACTTACTGAAATGTGACCATGTGACCTAATGAAGAAATTAAATATAATTAAGACTGCATTTAATGCTTATTTTTTGGAAATTACTGTCACATCTACAATATAAATGATTCTTTTGCTATTTTGATATTTGTATCATTTCAATTTAATCTACTTTTGACAGAAAAAGTAGTGGTCAGCTGGCAATGTGAATCCATGGAGTCAGACCCTGAGTACAGTATATACTCACCTATAGTGTAGCAGATTTAGCATGTGTTCTGGGAATTAAAGTTATATGATGGATTATAACAAGTTCCCGATTGAACTACTTTACCATACCTCAGGCAGTCGGACTAGCAGTTCGTGGAAGCGGGTGGGTTGTTGTGGGAAGTTGTGCTCCTCAAAACTTCTGAGACAAGTCATGTATCGGTCTTGAATAGTTTCAAGTTCACTTGAATCACCTCGACCTGAAAAAGGAAAAGGAGTATTTATAAAAAGCAGCCTTAAGTAGAGCTCACAAAGTTAATGATGAAGCCAACTTGAGAAATATCTAAAGCATTTTTTCTGCACAAAATAAACATTCATTTGGAAAAGGGCATCTGCTCATAAGAATAATTTAAGCTTGCTAAAATGTTAAATACAGAATACTCATTGAAGAATCAGCTGTTAGCAAGGAGGTTAGTAAGTTTATAATTTTGTTACGTGAATATATATATTGTGGCATGTCTGAAAGCCATAACTGTGAAGCCAGCAGAGGCAGCCATTGCTAGGGAACGGCTCTGTAGATACATCCATTGCTAGGCAGTGGCTCCGTATCCGTCACATGATGGCTGCAATAGACACAATCAGCAACAGGAGAGCTGTTTGAAGCAGTGTTACTGTGTGGCCTCTGTCAAGACTATATAATGAGGGCCAGCTACCATTATGAGTCAGTCGAGAGACATCTCTGAGACAGCAGTTAGAAGAATAGGAGGTTGGTGCGAGATGGCCGCCAGCCTGAGGGCATGAGCTCGGGAGCAGAGGATCATCCACTGTAGGAAGATGTTACCAAGCAGAACGCTAGTCTGTGAGTGATAGTGATTTGTAAAGTGTAGTTGTGTGTTAAAATGTTCAATAAATCCAATTACCAATCCAAACCCTGTCTATCATTAACTTCAATCTTTTCTGTATGCACAGAATTATATTAATTGAAACTGCAAGTAAACAGAAGTACCTAAAGAGCTCAATGACTACTCATTTGGAAGCTAATGTCACCCTGATATTTCAATGTGCTGAATGTTACTAAGTACCCAGGTTCATGATTTTATCTTCCACAATTCTTCACTGCAGTAAGAGTTCAGATTTTCTGTCAAAATGGACAAGGGATTTAGTGTCAAACACATACCTTGGTTGAGCATGGCGATAACTTTCAGGCACACATACTCTTCCATCCGAAGTTTTATTCTGCGGAACATGAGTGTCACATGTGTTATCTTCTCTATCATCTGACCCACATCCTGTCGCAGCTGATCAATCGAGATCGGTCGCCCCATCATTGATGTAAGGCATGTTTGAAGTGTTACAAGGTTATTGGAGACCTTCAACAAAACCAAGAGTGATGATAAGACACTCCTTCTGTTTTCTCAACTTTTGTCACTTTCATTTTGAAACTATAAGAATAAAGGACATTTTCAAAATTTTCTTAGTCACTAATGAAAATAGGAGTCTAGGAGTTACAAAGACTCAGATACCATGACAATAATGAAATATGCTAGTGAGATACTCAAATTATGTCATCAAGTGCTCATTAAAGTTCTAGAAGAATTCAAGTATGTATTATGGAGAGTAGAGTTTCTCTTTCTGGATGCTGTAAATTTAATGGAGAATTCCAAGAAAAACTTATTACATCTACTTATGTCTGAATTTTTCTGAATGCAGAGAGATGATAAAGAATCATAAATTGAAGCTGTACAGTTTAGTGATCTGTTTTTCTGCATAATTTCCATTACTACAAATTTCCACTGCCTGATAGTCATTGGACATCAGTTTATAGTTTCTGTCATCAACATGTTTGTAATTTTAAAGCACAGAAAAGCCTTTGTTACTAAGTCTGGAAGTTCAGTTATTATTTACCATCAAACCAGATTCAGTTTCCCTAACTACAGTGATTCACAGTTTATCACTTCCAAACAAAATAGATTCCAAGCAGATGGCATGTTGTTATTTTACATTACACAAAAGTCTCCTGAATCAAAATTGTGTATTCTTTAAAGTTCTATAGCCACAATATATATCAGGGCCTTACATTAAATGACCCTACTGTGGCAAGACATTTATGCCAAGTTTGATGCAAATGAGTTCGTATATTCAAAAATTATTGGCATGCAAGCATGAGTGCATATGCACACGAAAAAACACACACACATGAAAATCAGGAAATCAAGAGCTAACCTTTCTCTCAGAAATTAAGAAAATGCAATAAAAATGAGTATATGGGAGTGAATATTAATAAAAATTAATATTAATCACTGACAGAATATCTACATCTTATCAGTTGGGGATCTGAAATTAAGTTTATCAGTCAAGAAATAATATGAGTGATTATTTCTCTCCCCCATCAACCCTAAGAATGATTTTATCAATTTTTAACAGTCATAACAATCCTATGGCTCAATGAATGTATGTGTCATTCAGTATATTTCTATTTAAGTACAATTACTCATTATTTTTCAGTTTCTCTCCTGTACATCTTTTTCTCAAATTGGTATTACATGGAAATTTAATTCACGTAAATCATTCAATTGAAAACAGCTTGCATGATTCAAATATGCAAAGCTCTTCTATTCTTTCACCCAAGAGATGAAACCCAGTTATATCACCATTAGTGATTATTTCAATACACAACTGGGCAGATAAACCAGCATTATCTTTTCACAATACATGACTTGCTGTAAACTTGATCTGACAGTTTAAAGCAGGGTTGGAGGCTGGAAACCCACAAATACTGTTTGTGAACCCCATCTACAAATTTTTATACACCAATAAAGCAAAGAGAGAGAGAGAGAACAAGAAGAAAAGCTGATATGTATATAATAAATATAATAATATAATAATAATATGTATATAATAAATATTTCACCTATGATCTATTTTTTATTTATTTTTTATCTTCTAATAATGCATTTCATATTAGTAAAGTAGAACACAAATGCTTCTAGTGCCAAAAAGTGGCCAACCTCTGGCTTAAGGCACAAATAATACTACATGTTCACTTCTGATCACAGAATTATTGGGTACTCCTGATTGCTAAATGAGCTATGTTTGTTCTGCGTATGTATTAAGTCCAGGAGTAACCTTGCTGATAGGCCGCGCCATAGCTCAAGCGGTTAGTCGCTGGTTTCCCACCGCAGTGGCCCGGGTTCGATCCCGGGTCTGGTCAAGTAGGATTTGTGGTGGACAAAGTGGCACTGGGGTGTTTTTTCTGCGAGTACTTCGGTTTCCCCTGCCAATCTTTATTCCACCAAATTCTCCTTCATCATAATCAGCCGGGGCAGGCTACAATAGGCCAATCAGTGGCCGCCGTGCCAAGTGGACCCAGTTGGACTTCAGCCCCCACTAAGTGAATTAAAAAAAAAAAATAAAAACTTTGGTGATGGAAGAAAGATATGAAATATTGTATACTGGAACATTATGTTGGTTCATCTTTAGTTTGAGTTTACTGCAGAGATGTGTACCAGATATATACATATATATGTGCTGGAATAGCATACACATACCCAGGAAGCCCAACAGTATAACACACGCAGTCGCAGGAGCACGACACAACAAAACCACAACACACAAGATAGTGAAGGAGTGCTCCAACAAAGGAGAATGGGCGTGACTGACGTAGTGAGGGGCGACGTAGCGATGTGGTATCCTGAACAATTNTTGACAATGTATATGATAGATACATATTTTAGTTATTTTAATGTGTGAACATGGCATGCAATGAACTGGTTTGACGTGGATAAGTAAGCACCTGAAGATGGCATTATTATGCCGAAACATGTAGTGCGAGGGAGAGAAGGAGAAAAATGAGTGTATGCACTGCAAGACGGATTAAATAAATCATAGCATAAATCTATGACTGAACCATATCTATTTCTATATTGGACAGAATATAACTTCTTGCAGCACAGTTCTCTCACAGAGCTTTCAACCTACAATCTGAGCTTACCTCTTGAGTGAAGTCTGCCTCTGTCCCATCACTGCTGGTACTACCTAATTTGTGTGCTCCATGGATTGCCTGATATGCTGATGTCGTCAACACCAGCAGTTCATGCCACTTGTGAGTTAGTAATCTTGTATGGACCTGACCAAAAGAAACATAATATACTGAATGTAGTTCACCACTCATCCATTAATGCCACTCTGAATATTTTTGGAAATGTGTTTCAAATATTGAGCCTGCATGTTTCAGCCTGGAATACCAAAACAATTGTACATATTAACTATATAAACTGTCCTATTTTATTCAAGTAAATATATCGATAGTGATATAAATGAACAACGTAAGCATTTTAATATAGGTGTTCCATGTGAAATTTCATAGAATTCAAGTGCTGAAAGATCCAATAGACATGAAAACTATGGTGCTAAAAACGTGCTTATCTTACCTTTCTTTTTAATTCGCTTAGTTGGGGGGTGGAGTCCAACTGGGTTCACTCGGCATGGCAGCCATTGAGTGGCCTATTTTACGTGCCCCATGTGATTATGATGATGGATAATTTGGTGGAATGAAGATTGGCAGGGGAAACCGATGTACTTGGAGAAAACCCGCCCCAGAGCCAATTTGTCCACCATAAATCCCACTTGACCAGACCCGGGATCGAACCCGGGCTGCCGCAGTGGGAAGCCAGTGACTAACCTCTTGAGCTATTGCGTGGCCTTATCTTACACTTACATATATGCAGACCATTCATAAACGAAAGATTTGTATTTACATGCCAAATATCCTTAATTATTCTTTTTTTCAATTCTCCAGACAGTTGAGTTTCAGAGTATCGCAAGAATTGTTAAGTGATCTGCTTGGATCAACAGAAAAATGTACTAAACACAAGTCACTTAAACTTCACTAATGATTAGTTGGTCTGGTCAAGTGGGATTTGTGGCGGACAAAGTGGCGCTGGGGCAGGTTTTCTCCGAATACTTCGGTTTCCCCTGCCAATCTTCATTCCAACAATTGCTCCACAATCACCCTCACCAATCATCTGGGGCTGGTACAACAGACCATAAGTGGCTGCAGTACAAGGGACTTAGTCCCACCCCACTAGCATTAAAAAAAAAACTTGAATAGAGATCATGGAGGACGTTATAGAAAATAATGTAGCCTAGGTGGGAGACATAAAATGCACACAAAATTTGTGTCATAAAAGCTCAACGGAAGAGACAACTTGGTAGATTTTAGTCTTAGATAAAACTTCAGGAAATAGGATGTGAAGGTGTGGATTGGATTCAACTGGTTCAGGAAAGGGTCAATGGTAGACAACTGTAAACACATTAATGGGCTTCTGTGTTCTAGAAAGATGAGGACTTTCTTGACAAGCTGAGCTCAGGAATAACTCTACTCCAATAAATTAGTTATGTGTACATGGGGGTGTAGGAGCTGGGATAGCATAGTCAGTATAGCAACTGGCTATGGGCTGAACAACCAAGAATTAAAAACTTTCTCTTCTCCATGTCATCCAGAACAGCTCTGGGGCCCACCCAGCCTCCTATCCAGTGGGTACTGGGAGCTCTTTCCCTGGTGGTAAAGCAGCTGGGGCGTGAAGCTGACCACTCACCTCAAACTAATGCCTAGGTCAAGAAAATGTGGACCTATGCATCCACTCCCCCATATGCCTTATATAAGCTAAGGAGAAAGAGGAGCAAGAACAAGAGTGTTCCACAGAACTTCAGAATATGTGTTGTATGATTTCTCAAATAACAAAGGGTTGGAACCCACTGCTCTAGATCTTGGAAGCGTGGCAATGTCATCATTGCCACAGATCCATATAACAGTAACTATCCTGCTTTGCCACACCTCTTAGTGCCAGCAAGATAGTGTTCACCACAAGCACAATAGACCAGTGAAGGTCGCAGTGCTAGGGCCAGTTTTATGGCCCACCCCTCATACTCATAGTGTTCACCACAGGTCTACTTGAACCCTAGTTTTCACAACTGTTCTCAGTGAACCAGTTGAACCTAGTCTTTTAAATAATTATTCACTGGATCTCAAATGTAACCATATTAAATGGGTCCCACACCATGGCATGGCACATCTTCAGGTTGCAGTTGCAGATGGTCTTCAGATATGGAGGGTAGCCATAAATATGTTGGAAGAGTAGTCTTCTAGCATTTGATTTGGATGGGGACCCATAAAAAATACATAGCCAGTTACAAAATGTTACACAGGATAGGGTCTGAGTCTTCTGAACCTTCCAGTTCTCTATGAAGTAGCAATTTTCTTGACTACATAAGTGACTTTTAGTATCTCAAGAACTCTGCTCCATGAAGTTAAGTTAATCTGAAATGTAAGACTTAGTTACTTATTAGTATTTTGATGGAAGTAAACTCTTAACTATAGACAGACAAAATGTGGAAGTATATTATAATTAAGATCAATAATAGTTCTCTAAATGCAAAAAACATTACTGAAACATCCTACAACACCACAAATTTTACTATTTCTTGATGTTATTCATTTTTTGATCATCTGACTAACTCCAGGATACATTGTCTTCTAAAGCAGTTGATAACCATTCAGCTTGAAAAGAGAAACCCATCTACACTAGGTCTCCCAAATGGTCTCTTCCCTTGATGCTTTAACCAACACCCTGTGTGAACTTCCCATGTCCTACCCATAAACCTAAAAACTGGCAAAAAGAGAACATCCATTATTTCATACATTGTTTTATGTAGGTTTGAAACATAATTCTTGACCCTGAGGGGAGTACATAAATTGAAAACAAATTGTCGAGGAAATATTTTGACCTAAGCAAGATGTACCTTGTAATTACAAAAGCCTAGGCAAGAATGCATAATGATAAAGGTAAAGCTATCCCTGTAGCACTGTGAGACATTGAAGCTCCCACGCTTTCTAGAATATCGGCTCACAAATGGCAGTAAGGTTGTCAGCCGGTCACCCTTTACCCCTCAGGGAGATTTCTGGTACTCACTTCTGCTACAGGTTGAGTTAACCCCAGGGCCATAGTGCGGCTGGAAGGATTAGGTCAATTAAAGAATCCAATGACATATACTATCAGGGTGATGAAACCAAGAAGAATGCAATTGGTAGGACTTAGAGTGGAAATGGAATGAATGAATGAATGAATCTCTCTTTTCATTGGGGTTTCAGAACTTAAATATTTACCTCAACAGGCAATTCCAAGTAGAAGGGTAACCTCTTTGTCCATTGCACCAGCTTGTAAACTATAGAGTCACCAATCTGGCACAGTTTGTCTGAGAGGTCAGACTTGTGGTCCAGCAGTTCATCCAAATTCTGCAACATTACAAAGTGAACTGAGAATACTGGGGATAAATGGAATAAGAAATGTGACGGCTGGTCTCATCTGTCTTCATTAAACATGCCCTGCACTTGCTACATTTCATACTCTGACAATCACAGTACTTCTGAAGTCTGGCATGCTTCAATATGTAGCCACTGGAATTACAGTTTGAGCGGTAATAATTTGTTATGCAATGTAGTTAGCAAAATATTAGCTTTAAAGGATACTGGTCACCAAGGTGTCCTGATGCCTCTTCTCACCAACTCATTCTTAGAAGCACCGACAATAAAGGGGTGAAAACAATCAAAACCTTCACATTCCCCATAAGCCACAGAAAGGTTTTCATGGATAAAATAAGACAAACTGTTACATTTACTCCAGAAGAACAAGATAAATAAATTTGCTGTACTATAATGTAAAATGAATTAAATGGGACCACAGCGACTTTTAAATCATCCTACAAAACTCTGCTGTATATGAAGTTGAAGTCTAAATAACTAGTACATCGTGTTAAAATATAGATCTAATTAAGAAGTAAGAAAAGTAAAGGTATCCCTGTAACATGCCGCGAAGGCCCATAGGGTCGTGAGATGTTGAGGCTCCCACATTTTCTAGACAATCAGCTCATAGATGGCGGTGAGGTTGTCAGCCTTATGCACTGGCCGCCCTTTACCCCCAGGAAGATTCCTGGCACTCATTTCTGTTAGAGGCTGAGTCAACCCCAGGGCCATGGTGCAGCTGGAAGGATTAGGTAAATTGAAAAAAAAAGTCTACATCATCAGGATTCAATCCCACAACCTTCCAGCTTGTAGCATAGTGCCTCAACCACCTATGCACCATGTGCCACCTCTAATTAAGAAGTACAAATATAATCTGAAAAAAAATTGTTCTTGTAAGGTATATTTCACACAGAATATAAGGATAATAAATTGTCTCAATACAGTGCTGTATCAGTGTAGTTCATTCATCTCCATACAGCAGATATGTATCAGCATCAATGGATATCAGCACAAATGATGCATTTAAGATGATAAGCAACACATTTGGAATATATAATAAAGTACATCTTTCAGTATTAATTAGATAACATGATGAAAATGAATAATGATGATCACTGATATGAAAATAAATGTATTTCATTACAGGGTTGAGTCATGTCCTCAGAAATTAACACTACAAACAAGTCAGATGTGTTCACAAATAATGTTCATAAATTAAAATTATAATTAACATTTTAAAAACTTGTTTATATGTTTACTGATTTGCATGCTATTTTTACAGAAATTAATTTTGTGTGTCGTCAATGTATATATATATATATATAATGCAAAAATGATAGAGGAAGGAGCATATAACAAAGTACGTAGCCTCATTATGACAAATGATAACATATATGTCACACTGTCAGCTTTCTCAATAAAAAGTTGAAAGAATGAGAAAATACTATCATCTTAAGTATCTAATAAATTACCCTTAATGTGGCTATGTCCTGAAATTCATCGCAGTCTATTAATGTTTGGATCATGGTCAGCGTCGCTTCAATTGGAAATGCCCGATCTCGTGATGAGCTCACAGCATTATCCAGTCGCTGACGCAAGTGTACCACCTATGGGAAAATATGTGTTTATTATTAGCTGTGAATGTCCCCGACACTAAAACTGTAAAAATTAAAATGTCTAAAACAATTTTAAATTGTCATGGTAGTTAAGTTGACATTACCACACCTAGAATGTATATGAGGAATAATCAACAACTACTGAATGTGGAATGGGAGGAAGGGATGCCAGAATGGATACAAACTGCTAAACTCTGTCTGCTGGTCTGAGGAATCATGTGCAACTTTCTAAGTGTCTTTCTTTGACCAATGGAAAATGACATGACAACCATATGTACGAGTAATATATATTATTTTTATAGTAACAACTGATGATAATTTTAATGAAACATGAATCTCTATGGTGGTACCATTATGGAAATATATTTATGAAACATTGTTATGTATGAACTTATAATGGCAAGAAATGAACTTCTCAGCCTATGTCTGACATCATTCACATACTACAAGCTATATAAACAGAAATTTTTGACAGACACATATTACTGAATTACACAATTAGTAAAGTGCCAGCAGCTATATGTGCAAATGTACAGAGGCAAGAGTGATTTAAAATAAGAAGTTTTGTTAAGAACTGATCACCTACTTTCCCTTGATATAAAACGGACCCCATAGAAAACGACACATCCAACAATTCTTCTATTGTATTTTTTGCTGCATTAACGTTTTTGCCAAGCCTTTGCCTTGCAATGAAGGGAGAAATACACTTAACCAAACATTTGCCTAGTAACAATAGAAGAGATACACGTTCTGAAACAAAGACTGATGGGAGAGATTTATAAATAAGCCATTGAGATGGGCTCAGGTGCTATGATATACATTTCGTAAAGAGTGGTTCAGGCATTCATAAGTTAATAGGGGGGTATTCACAGACATGGAGACTGTATAGACTGACTTTTAGGAAAGTATGTTAAAATAAGGGTTTGTTTTCAATATTATAAAATCTGAGAAAGTATTGTTTAGTTTAGTGTGTACAATACTTTAGGGCATTCTACGTTTAAATATTCCTTTCCCGTATTACTGCACATAAATATTTTGAGTTTTCTAAATTGTATTTATTTTTGGATTTTGTTAGTGAACCTTAAACCTGAATGAGATCCATTCTTAACAACCATCGAATTTTTTGAAAGTCTGGTTCTTTCGAAAAAAATATTTATGTACATATGCATATTTGTACCTCATTTTTTTCTTCCTTTGTCTTTGACATAATAATTTGAAGACGAACTTCATGTGAACAAATCTTATAGATGCACTCGACGTATGTTACATATGAAATATTTTCAGTTCTTTCCTTCTTGGAACATACAGAAAAACAAGTAATACTTCTGTTCTCTTATATTTCCTTATGGTTTATGAAATATGTCTGTGAATATATTTTCAGGCACTATATTATGGACTTGTTCATCTCCTTGGCTTTTGTGCAACAACTGGTTACAAACAAGATGATTCATATTATTCTTCCACTTAGTATTTATACAGTGTTGTTTGTGAGCATATATTTCATACATCCTATGGCTGTAGTCACAATTTCAGTAATTCAGTTTTGTGTATGTGACATGTGATAAACATAAACAATTGTGTTCTCTTCAGTTTTCCAACTTGTGACCTAGGCAGTATTTTAGTGAACACTTGTTTGGGAAACCAATGATCGTTTTAACATTTCCATAACTTTAAAACAAGTGTACATATTTTGAGGTAACGCTGTTCTTATTAAAATTTGACCACTTGCTTTTATTTCTTATTATTATTTTCTCATATACATACATAATAAAGAAACTACTGTGATCGCGAAAAAAAAAAGATCTTGAAATTGACAGGTTTTCAGCCCCTCCATTCTCAGTTACAAAAAAGTGATTCTTGGAATGCAGTCTGTCTGTATGCTTGTAAGCATAGATGTGTGCTTTTCAATACTGCTTGAACAACTGGAAAGATTTTACTCATATTCGGTTATTCAGCATAGGTCGGAGCCCGCTTAGTATGAACATTCCAGTCGCAAAACACAAAATGGCGACGATCTTCCTAAATAAAACTGTAGGTGGTATCTTCCGGGAAGTAACGGTATGCTCAAACGCGAAATGTCGATTTTGTCAAAACTGACTATACTGGTCAAGCACATTTCTTTGTTGTTCGGTATCCATCAACCAACAATGGTCTGCAGTGCACCAGTCCTTTTCTCCAAGATAACGTAGTCAAGGTCAAACATATGCACATATGTATATAAGGTATGCCTGTAATTCCTTTGCATTGAGTTTTGTACATATTGTGGAACATGCTGACAGACTTTTTGTCCTTTGTCACTGAAGACGGAAATATCCAAAGAATTTTCCCAGCAGGCCCTTCTTAACCATTAATATATTTCTAATATTGTAATTATTTTTGGCACGAAACAATTGTCCTTTACGTGTACACAGATTTTCAAATCTAAATTCCATTTGCAAGCGCGAAAAAGCCGCGTCACGGACAGAGGGACGCTTGGGAACTAGACATATAGGACAGTTTAGTTGGTCTCTATGCAGATGAACTCGGTAATTCTACTTCTAATTATGCGTTCTTTGCCCTGTGTGCCAGCATAAGAGGATGATCATATCTGTTCGTCCATCCACGTTTTAATTCGAGAAGCGCTGAATGCGTTTTAATGAAGTCTGGTAAGAATGTTGTCACTGCAGGCCACAGCATATTCGCGGTTTTTAATCTTCTTCAGTTGGTAATAACAATGTATTGGACACACAGATTTATGAGATCGAGGCTAAACTCTGCCGAAATGCAGCAACCAGAGCTCGAATATTAAATTAACCGTATTAAGGATATGAATCATGATAGCGACAATGATCATAGTAACAAAATAACCATAGAAAAGATTTTTTTTAGCCTTCTGAAATGTACATGCACTCGAATGCAAACTTCAGAATACTAAGGTGCAAAGAACGCGTGTGCAAATTTTACTATGGTGCGGTTTGAACTTTCCCAATTTCGTTCATTCCACTGCTGGTATAAAAGTTTGGTTGATTGTCTTCAGCTATAACACGTCCTTCAAAATCCAGTTAGGCTCAGCAAGGTCACAGAGAATTTTATCTTACTATAGAGATTTTATTTTCGAATAGTTCAAACGTTTGGAGTGCCATAATCCTTAAAATTCACAACAGTATATTCCTTGTTGCCCATTCAAGGGGGGACGTTCTGTGTGTGTGTGTTTATTCTGTTTGTGTTGTCCGGTGTTTAGGTAGTGGCCTTGCGACGGGCTGATCACTCGTCCAAGGAGTCCTACCATCTAAAAAAAGATTACGAAACTGAAGAAGAGGCCAGGGCCCAACATAGGGCTGTAGGGCCACTGATGAATGAAAAATGAATGAAATACTCCTTGCCTCTCACTTTGGTGTCGAAATTCAAGAGCTAAGCTGCTAATTATAATAAGCAAAAGTTTAGGATGAACTCATGGCACCTTCTTTCCTGCAAATCGTTCTGTGTGGAGATGCTGGCCACAACTACAAATAAATAACTGTGCATAATTCAGTATCTAGTACAGATTCCCAAGGTGTAAAATTCGTCAGCTAGAAGGTAAAATTGTCCCCTGTGCTTAATTAATTAAGTATTAGGCCATGAAGGCGCATGGGGGAGTGATCAGCTTCACGCCCCTGCCGCTTTACCCCCTGGGAAAGAGCCACCCGTACCCACTGGATAGGAGGCTGGGTGAGCCCCAGAGCCGTTCTGGACAACATGGAGGACTGAAATGTCTTGCCCCTATACCGACTGCGCTATTCCGGTTCCTGTTTGTCAGCTATAACTTCATATCATTCGCGTCGTGATTTCCATTAAAATAAAAAATCGTGTAATGTTTTAGATGTTTTTATGATCTACGAATATCCCCTCCTAAAAAAATTTCACTTTGTGCTCCAGTGGTTCATTAGTTACCGCTATCAAACCGTACGAAAAGCATAAAACTTGTACGACACCCACACAATCTTACGTATTTTTCCAAGATATATTACACCTCCCTCCACAAATAAAATTTATGACCTTACATCATCCAGGATAATATCGCCCCCATCATGGAAGTTTGCTGTCGCCATATTCAATTACTTAAGACAGGAAAATGAAATGTACAATTATGAGTGGTCTCTGATGGCACGAGGTTAATACAGGGTTTAACCAAAACCCATCAACAGAATAAAAAGTAATTTGGGGACAGATAACACCACAAGGCCGTCTTTCTTTGTAAATAACAAAAGTGGACTAAAACAAACTTAGTGTCCCCCCACGGACAACATAAACAAGATGAAACGTTACGGCTAAATATAAAACAGTTTCTAACGGTCATGGGAGAAAGTTTTCCTCATACGAAGCATAAACAATGCTACCACCACAATATGATGGCATCCACAATGGCAAGGAAAGTCGACAGGCGAAAGCTGGAGAAAGTTCATGCACACTGATGCTCGTTTGGTAACACAATGCAATGATAAAAGATTCACTTTTAAACACAAAACAAAGGCTCGCGGAAAGTGAAATTTGAAACTTGTCAAAACGATCCGGAGGGAAATCTCGCGGTCAGAATGCATGCACAGTAAACCCTTCCAGACGTGGATTTGTTTCCACACGCAAAGACAAATGCGAACAATTATTTGCCAGATACGGAAAATTTGAATATATGTAAGTTCAGTGAAGTTGTGTATGATTGGTGTAGCCGGTCTTTCCTGTTGTTTTGCAGTTATTCGCCACGCGTGTCACGATTACGATTTGCTGTTTTTTTTAGAATGTTCTTACTTCGTATAAAGATTAGAAAGGGTCATTCATTAGTGTGAATAAACATCTACATATGTAGATATTAATGGCAGACACTACGTTGTCGCGTCTATACGTATATCCCTAATTAACCTTTAAGGTATGAAGTTTGTCCAACGCGGATTCACTTAACGCCTCGTTCTCGTGAACCTGACGCCCTTGTTGGAAAACGGTTTACTGTTTTGTATCTGAGTCGTAATGGCGACGCTTATCCAAACTGAAACTTCTGGGGTGCTAATCTCACAGACATTTTCTAGTCTTCATTAATTTTTTTTTATCTTATGCGCGCTGCGAAAGACATGTATTGCATATTCGTCAGCAAACGCGACAAAAGAGAAACTCTGTATGGTACACTCAAACTAAATTATGCTGAGTCTGCTTGATTCTGGTTTCGTATGGTTCGCTGTAAGGACCTAAATGATCTTTTACATGTGATACCTTCCATATATTGGAGCCCAGACAGCAGTCAGTGTACTAAGCTATAGGTTCTGTGACTGGGAAATAAAGGTTTTATTCCCAGCCAAGGAAAGAGATACTTCTGTTCTCCAGTGAATCCACACTGACTCTTGACCCCGGCCTCCTATCCAATGGATACCAGTTTTTTCCTATAGTTAAAACAGCTTGGATGTGAAGCTGGCCACTCATCCCCATCTAGTGCTCAGGTTAAGACTGTGTGGAACTATACCTCTACTCTTCATCGCAATGTGCTTAATGCATCAAAGGGACAACCTGCCGTAACCTTGATTTATGGCACTTCTGTTATACAAGTCTTTTCTTGTGTTTTTCATTTAATACAATTCACTTCAAAGGCTATTCACATACTGGCAGAAATGAACTTCTTCATAAATCTACTGCCTCCTTTACAGATTTTGAGGAAGCTAGGTATGCAATACCTCCTCTATATGAGTATTAAGCTTAGAGTGAAAATATCTTTCACTTTAGTTCCATATAAGTATTAAGCAACCGAATTAATTTTTTCATACATCTCTTGAGTCCTTTGACAGATTTTAATAAAGTTTCACATAAAATACTTCTACTTTATCATACTATCACGTGATGGAATGTGATTAAAGATGAGTTTTGGATTGATGACTGCATTTACTGCACACTTTGATACAGAACATGAATACACTTTACAGTTCACTATTACACACACACACACACTAGTGTGCACAGCCATGTCTTCACTCCCATTGCTTGGTAGCAGCTTCGAACTGCAGACATACCCGTTCCTCTGGGTTCCTGGCCTCAGCTACCAGCTTCTAACAGCAACAGCTCACAACTACTGAAACCCAGCAATTCTCTGACTAACTGCAACTCAAGTTAATGTCAAAGTTATGTTATGACAGACAGTCAGTCAGCCAGTCTGTCCTGGAGTAAAACACCCATCTTGGGCCCATGACCAGATTGTTGATATGGGACGCCCTCTCTGAGGAGAGGATGGGTCTGTTGTTTACAAATGTTGCTAGCCCTCACCAATGCAGCCATGTTTGCCACCTGTGACCTATAGCAGAAATTTTGCTTCATGAGTTTTAATACAGTTTTTGTGAAAACCATTATTCTGTATTCTTTGACTTGGCCCCACTGACCTCTGTCATGACCTGCTGAAACATCGTTGTGACTACTGTGAACATGTCGTTCGGAGACGATCTGTTTGCATTAGGAGCCTGAACTGACTGACTTTTTACTTGTTTTTGGTTGTGCTTCAAGGGGGTGGGGGAGCACTCATTTCTCCCACTGTGATGGGGCAGGCTTGTGTAAGTGAGGATGGCTGAGGGTGCTTCTGTTGCTGTGTGTTGCTGCATAGCACCACCACAAAGGATAGTCCTGGGGTGGTGTGGCTACTAACTGCAACTGCTAACTAGTCCTGGCCATAACCTGTCATCATGGACCGCTGTAGAAAACTTCTCATCCACTATTGCTGTGTTCTCTTGTCGCCATGTAAAAATGCTTGTTTGTGAAGCCATCACTTAGAAATGGATGTTGTATAGTTGCCTGTTTCGAGTTTGTTGGCCAACAATGGGTCTACATGCCACAATACTTTAGTTTCATTCACTTCAATTCAGTCTAAAACTCAACATTACGTATGTGCCTAAATATAATTTTGGGCTTATGCACGTTAAAAATTCACCCTAGTTCATTCAATAATATCTTATGGTGTAATATTCTGGGGGAGATCGGCCCATGCAAAACTCATATTTCAAATACAGAAAAGAATAATAAGAATTATTACCAATTCTCGTAATGTGGACTCGTGCTATAATTTATTTAAGGAGTTACATGTACTGCCACTTCAATCACAATATATATTTTCCTTACTTATGCTGGTTGTCAAGAACAGAGATTGCTATATAACAAATTCTTATGTCCACACCCATAATACCAGATTTAATCATGACTTGCATCTTCCGGTGGTAAACTCAACGATATTTCACAAACGTGGATGGTATTCTGGTATCAAACTTTATAACCAACTCCCTCCAGAGCTTACACAATTATCTTACAACATCCCTAGATTTAAAGTGGCGTTAAAGAAGTTTCTTATCACCAATTCCTTTTACACTGTTGAAGGGTACTACTGCTGGAATAAAGATTGATCCTTCATGTATATTTAAATAAACACCGTTGCCTATTGCTAGGATGAAATGGACTATGGAATAAAATACACAGGAAAAAGGTACTATTACTGTTGTGATATAGGTGTATTGTATATTAAGAAATNTTATGTCCACACCCATAATACCAGATTTAATCATGACTTGCATCTTCCGGTGGTAAACTCAACGATATTTCACAAACGTGGATGGTATTCTGGTATCAAACTTTATAACCAACTCCCTCCAGAGCTTACACAATTATCTTACAACATCCCTAGATTTAAAGTGGCGTTAAAGAAGTTTCTTATCACCAATTCCTTTTACACTGTTGAAGGGTACTACTGCTGGAATAAAGATTGATCCTTCATGTATATTTAAATAAACACCGTTGCCTATTGCTAGGATGAAATGGACTATGGAATAAAATACACAGGAAAAAGGTACTATTACTGTTGTGATATAGGTGTATTGTATATTAAGAAATAAGATTTTATATGACTATATTAAGAGTCTTGGTGGTCTCTTGATCACGTATGTAATATTATATGTTTTTTTTATATATGGAATGTACTGTTGTACAGTAGTCTTGTTGTATTGAGTATTTAAAATTTTGACGATGATGACTATCTGATTATGTATGTATATTCATATGTTATATTGTATTGTTGACTTGTTCTATATCTGAGGCAGATGCCTCCATGGATTTTGTAGAACTGTAAATAAATGAATGAATGAAAGAATATCTATTGTCTAGAAAATAACTTATGTATCTTTAAATAGCCTTGTGTGTAGTCACTGTGTATTCTTGGTTTCTCTCGTGTGAAAACTTCATTGGGACTGTACACATGTTTTGTATTTATATGACATATTCCACATCCTACAGTCATTTTGATTAATTCTGGATCCATGGAATTCAATGCAATGCAATGTAATCAATTTCAAGGAGTTATTGATCGAAGTCTAAAAGGCAGAATCCTTCTTCTGGTGCTAATAATTAATCAGCTGGCCAAGAAATTACCTGCCTTTTTGGAACCTGAAATGTTTGCACAAGTTCAATCCTTCCCTCCCTTACAGCTAATGGAAACATACTACTTCCAAAACATCATGTTGCCTTGTATTCTGAGAGGTACCCAGTTTGAATCTTGGCTGGTCACTAGCTATCCCAACTGAGGTTCTCTTATGGTTTTCTTCAGTCTCTCCAGGATGCTGGGATATAACTAAAACCAGGCCAGAACTGCTTCCTCCTAAATTCTTTTCATTTCATTATTCACTGATTATTCTAACTGTGCTTCTGACAGCATTGTAACATAAACCATAAATAAATAAAGAGATAAAATTCTGAAACATTATGTTTGAAAAACACAACACAATGGACAATGTTAAAAATAGAAGTCATGTTTACAATTGAATCTAGTCCACACAGTCACATCATATTTCTTGAAGATAAAATTATTATCTTTGATTCTATACCTTTTCTTACAAGTGGTGTTTGGTCTTTAATCTTTTCCTGACTAAAATATTGTATGCCTTTCTAATCTCACCAATGCATGTTTTATGCCATGCCCATCACATCCTTTCTGACCTGCCCCCCCCCATAAAATTTTTGGTGAAGATTATGAATTATAAAACTTCTAATTACACAACTTTCACCATCCCCTTTTTCCTTGCTCTCTCCAAGATTCAAATATTCTCTTCGTCACACTGTTCTGTAATAGTTTCAAAGTTCAGTTAATAGTCTCCCTCATCCAGCACACCTTTTTTTACCATATAACTGATCCAACTGCTATTGCAGCTTCTTTATGGAGGGCATGGGAGAACAAGAAGGGGTTACACTTTAAGGGGGGAAGAGAGGCTAACAACAGTGTTGTCAACATGGAGTAATAACAATGAGACTGGTGGAATGAATGATAGGGAAAATGATAAAACCCTAAGAAAATTTTATTCACTAGAGCTTTTCTATCACAAACTCTTTCCCTCTTCCAGTAATGAATGTACCGATGATACTTAAAACTGATTCTTCTCTCCCAGAGAACTCATAAATCATAAATATTCTGTGAGTAATGCAAACATGTTTTTAGACTCAGCCTGAAACAGTAGGTTTTGTGTTACACCAAAGAGTACTGAGGTAAGGTTTCTTTAGGCAGTTTTCCATTACCACTATCATTCCTTCCACTTTCAGTCAGTTGCTAATTATTACTGTTATTGTTGATGCACTGAGACGCAGCTGCTGTTGTAGAACCTCCAAGTAATCTGCAAATAAATTAGCAATTCCTTTTGTCACAGGAGGAGGAGAAATGTAAATGTAATGTTTGAAGCAAAGGAAATGAAGGAAGCAAAGAACAGAGAAAGAACAAAGGAAAGAGAATGAGAGAACGAAAGAAATACAACAAAGTACAGTTGCCCTCTCACCTCACTGGGGTTGGTGAGAGCGGTTTTCAAAATCGTTCCATTCATTAGGTGAGGCGGGATTCCATGCTCAGGTGTTACCATCCCCTTCTGTTTCTCCGCCTGACCTTTCACCTGCCCGTTTTTTGGATTCTTCTTGTGCTTCTTGTATTTAACCTTACAAAACACAACAGATACAAAAAAAAATGGCAACACTGTGATGATGGGAAGAATACGGCCTATTTATTTACATTCTATATTGATATTGTCTCTCATATTTTAGCCTTCAAAGTAACCACTTTCCTTCACAAAACTGTGTATGCATTTCACCGTTAGATGCCTAGTCTATCATAATATTTTTTTATTTCACTATGTCAGCAATACTACGGGACTGCATAAATCATGAAGCTCTTGTTTATGATCATCCTTCATTCCTTACTTCATCTTAAGTCCAAATATCTTCCTGCACAATTTCTTTTCAAATACTTATGATCTATGCAACAGACCACATTCACACCAATAAAAAATAACTGAAAAAATCACTATGTTATAATTCTTAACGTTTTATGTTTTAAACAATGGATGGATTGAAGAGTTTAGAAGAATCTGTTCTTATTCGGTATAAGAACAAATACTCCCTAACTTTTTGTTCTCATAATTGAACTGAAAATCCCTTATTCTGAATGAAGAATGTGTGAATCCTGTCATAAGAGAATACATCAAACTGTCAAAACATGCAGCGCACTTCTTCATGTTAATCTCATTTCATGAAAGAAGTACTAATACAGTAGCCATGTATTTTCTCCCAGATAAATTCTTACACCATAAGGTGATTCTTGTTAAACACTGGTATAGAAATCATGGTACTGCAAATCAACTGTATCACTATGAGGACCACGAGATATTCTGAAGTAGGGTAGACTCTGCAACAATCTACACAATTTAAATATTGATAAAATTAACATTCTGAGTATCACATTCCTCAAACATGAAAAGGACTGTGATATAACACATGAAAAGTATGTATGCAAATGAACACTAGAAATAAAATATATTTCTGAATGTTGAAAAATACTAACATTACTATCACGCAAACACAAGGGACTCCTGCAATTTACCCTTTTGAAAAACAGTTATTATGTTATGACCTGCTTTGATTTCTTGAACAATATATTTGTGTATAAATTTTGTGATCCCTCCACCCTTTACTGGGGTTCTCATTATCACAAATGTAACTCAGAAGTCAGTCACTTTCTACTAGCAAAATTCAGTGCCTGTCAGCAACTTTTCTACATGAAAAATTCCTTCAGTAATTGTCCATACCAAGTTGATCCGATAGACTAAGACGTAAACTTTTCGTTAGTTCTTCATCAAATTTGGCGTGACACTGCTGCAAAACAACCAGCTTCAATAACAATTTGAAACATTTTATACATGGTGTCCTAAAAGTCTTTGAGTTCAAATTTTAGAGGAATGCAGTACAATATACAAGTAAATGATGCAAAAGGATCGAGACATGATTCTCCATACCTCCACATATTAAATGATCTACTGGTATATAAAGTAAAAAAAAATTAAATTTGTTCTTGTGACTAAGCACTGCATCATGGGGAGTGGCAGTATAGATCAAAGCATTCTTAACAACAGCACTAAGACTGTATGAATGATCTGGTTCACACTCAAGTCACTTTATGCCTGAGAAAAGAGCTTGTCCAGTCATGTCTGGGACATGCTCTATACAATCAGGACTGTCCTATGAACATGCAGCAGAAATTAAACAACTAATTAGCAAATCAAAATTAAGAAACTAATCACACTTGTGTTTCAAATTCCACCTATAATTATGTGCAGCTACTTCTAGGTACAAGGGTTTACAGTCCTATTATACTCATAGTTTCCATGTGTGGTGATGGGTACATCATATTACTGTCTTGTCCCAAAGTGACTTCCACCAGCCCTGACTGGATCATATTTAAACACAACTAAATCTATGCAAGCAAAGAGAAATACATTAGTATGAGCTTCGCAGTAACCCGTTCTATTTCATGGGTTAAATGTATCATTACTAGTACTTGAATTGGAGTCTTTTCTGAAGAACATACAGAGATAAGAGGGTGTTCTGCAAGTGGGAAAATATCTGCTGTACCACACTATAAAATACATGAATAAAGAAAACCTTCGCTATTATGAATTAACTTTACCAAGATGAGGTTATTTAATCTGGACAGTCCTGCTACAAGCAGAAATATTCACATGAATCTGGCTGAGTAAACTGGACATATTCTCATCTCTGGTTACTGATAGTTATTACAAATAGCCTTGACCAAATTTATAATCTTCATTTGATTTAAAACCATGTTTTCAATCCTGTATTTCTATGATACCAACCTGTCCATGCATGTGTGTTTGTCTCCTGTAATAATTTTTGTACTCGCTACTTTAGTTCTGTAATGTTCCATAATAAAACATGCCATTGCAATTCACACCATTGCAAAACATTTTCAATCCATACAGTCCACAATTGGGCTGAAATGAACTTTCAAAATGCGAGTCCCTAGCACCACTAAATGTAAGACCCTGAAGTATTGAATGATGGTACAGAAATGGAAATTTTGTTAAAGCCATGTTCTTGGATGATATGGAGAGCAAGTAAAGTACTGCTAACATTCGGTTTGATCCTCTGGCATGGTGAAAGAAAACACATTTGTTTAAAAGTCCTTCTTTTGGACATTATTAATGAACTTCACACCCGCTAAATAAATTTCCTGCATGTGTAAAGTCCATACAGCACAGAAAATTTCTGAAGAACTGATTGTTTTAGTCTTTACTTATCAAAGGGCTTTCGTTATAAATTCATGTACAAATACTACACACAGTCTACAACCAAAATATTTCATTGTATTGCTATATGTATGTGTGTGTCATTTATTTTATGAGACTGTCATTATCTAGATAGATAGCCTCAAATGGTAGGATCTGTGAATAATGAACTGTAGAGGATTTGGAAGGAAGAAGCTGTGTTGTAGTTGAGATACTATCTCGGCATTTTCCTGGAGGGACTGAGAAAAACTATGAAAACATCAATCAGTATATGATAAAATTTGAACCAAGACCTCAACAAAGGTCTAGAGTGTTACTATGTCCTAATGTATATTTCTGTATGGGTAAGAGAACAGAAGTGAAGTGTGAAGAAAGCACGATACTGAGATAAATGTTTTCAAGCTACATATGACAAAATTTAAATATTTATCCCATTCACAATGAGCAGGGAACTCTGCAAAGAATTGGCTGTTGCACCTTAAAGAATGAAGCTGAATCACTTTCCTCGTTATGTCAATACACCAGGGGTTCCCAAACCTCAGGTCTCAACCCAAACTTGGGCTACATAGACCTTTTCATGAGTTGCACACTCCCAAAATAATGAAGCAAACTTGATGGCCAAAATCATTGTTAAGTATGCACATAGAAAGTATATGCATTCCAAATGTATTTTTATATATTATGTCATATACCTATGGTTATTTTCTGGGGTGCTAAGTATGTACTGGTACCCTTTGGGCCACAAGGCAAATGTGATTTCAGATTCTGTGTCATGTATAAGAAAGTCTGGGAACCACTGGAATATACTGGCCTACTGGAAGAAGAGGTATTCCTGATCCATGATGGGAAGACCTGAAGTCAAAACACATTGACAGTGACCCAGCAAGCAATGATATTTCGATATAACAGAATATCAGCAGTATATGAGAAAGGCTGTCTACAAAATTAAGTATAAAAATGTATTAATTACACTCTTCTATTTCAGTGAGGCACACGGTAGTGTAGTTGACTGAGGCACAAAGCTACAAGGTAAAGGCCACGCTATAGGTCAAGCGATTAGTCACTGGCTTCCCACCGCAGCGGCCTGGGTTCGATCCCGGGTCTGGTCAAGTGGGATTTGTGGTGGACAAAGTGGCGCTGGGGCAGGTTTTCCCCGAGTACTTTGGTTTCCCCTGCCAATCTTCATTTCACCAAATTCCCCATCATCATAATCCCTGGGGCAGATACAATAGGCCAATCAGTGGCCGACATGCCAAGTGGAGCCAACTGGACTACAAGCCAGACAGCCATGGGTTTGATTACCTATGAGGTCACCAGATTTTCAATTGACCTAATCCTTCCAGCCACGCTATGACCCCAGGGTTGACTCAGCCTCTTAACAGAAATGAGTATCATGAATCTTTCTGGGAGTTAAAAGCAGCTGGTACATAAGGCTGACAACCTTACTGCCATCTGTGAGCTGACTGTCTAGAAAATGTGGGAGCCTCAATGTCTCACAAACCTATGGGCCTCCATGGTCTGTTACAGGGATAGCTATACCTTTACCTTCTATTTGGGCAGCATGTTTCAATTCTATGTCATTGTTAGGCTACCTTTACAGTATTTGTAGTGTAACTGCTATTGTTGTGGTACAGCAGGAAACATAGCAGTTTTTTTAATGCTAGTGGGGTGGGACTAAGTCCCTTGTACTGTGGCCATTTCTGGCCAATTGTACCAGCCCCAGATGATAGTTGAGGGTGATTGTGGAGCAACTGGTGGAATGAAGATTGGCAGGGGAAACCGAAGTACTCGGAGAAAACCTGCCCCAGCGCCACTTTGTCCACCACAAATCCCACTTGACCAGATCAGGGATCGAACCTGGGCTGCTGCAGTGGGAATCCAGCGACTAACCGCTTGAGCTATGGCGCCACCCAAACGTAGCAGTTAGCAGAAAATATAGCGGTAGCCTGACAATGAATGTCAAAACATGTTGCTATAAAAACAATGTATATAATTAACACATTTATTTACACAGTTGTGTGGACAGCCTACCCCATATATTACTACTACACAACACAACAGGATGATCTGATACAATATATAACATTACATGTTAGGTTTCAAACACTGCTCTGATTAATTTTGGTGGCCTTACTCGTATATATCATTTCAACGTAATAATTCTCAACATCAGGTTGCTTCAGTGTTTAGGTGAATGGTTGGTATTTCTTAGAAGAATTAACCTAGTGATCCTCTAATAACACTGTATCAGATACTGCTGCTATTTACATTAGTTTTATGAACTACTTAACAATAGTTCACAGAAATAGAAGACAAAGATTTTAAGGGCAAAAAAGCATGATGTAACATGCGACTGTGGATTTGTGTTTATATCAAAAATAAATGGGGTAAAATCGAACATCTTGAACTATCCTTGAGTAAAATAAATATATAAATAGCAAATTTATTGACAAGCTGATTTTATCTTCTCCATTTTTACCAACTGCAGTAGAAATATTTTGAATGAATGGACAACTGAGAGAATATATTCCAGTCCAGTTCAGCCATTTATTTATTAACAGTTTTGAAGAGAAATATCCAAAGTACATGATTCTTAAATAAATTGAAGCTCTTTCTACCTATACCTTGTACAAGTTATAAACAGCTCCTGAATTTCGGCCTCCTGGCATCCGATCCTCTCGAACAGCTGCCACAGAAAAACAATATTAGGCCTATTACATGGCAATCAACATTTGGTCTTCCAGTATACAGACATGATATCAAGACTGTGGAATTGTATGATTATTTACTTTAATGATATATTCTAGTCACTAAGGGTGAGTGACATTTTAACTAAGTTTATAAATAACACTGAAGAATTCATCACTGCTCTTGGCATGTTGTACATGTGTCATTATATAACATTACTCTACTTCTGCATACACTGAAACTCAGTTCTGCCATACAGCCCCACTATCCCTCAATACTGACTTTTAAGATTTTGTGTTAACTTTTTACTTTTTCTTTAAAACATTAATCTCAAAATTTTCACCCTCTGCTTAGTAACATATTGAGCTTGAAAATAAAATATACTACAACCCTTAGATAGTTTCCAAAAAAAAAAACACATGAGTATTACAGGCCATGACAATGGCAGCATTCAGATTTCATTTCTAATCTTAGATATGCATTTTAATTTTCAGCTTGATATGTGGATTGACCATAGCATCGGGGAAACACAATTCTATCTGCAGTGAAAACTGTGAAGTTTGAAGGAAACAGACTATATGGAAAAACACTGCGTAGGGCAATCCTTCTGGTGTGATTAGATAGCACAGTGTCATTGGAATTGTAGGTTTAACTGTTTACCAGTGATTGTTTGTGCCACTTACTTTAAAAAGCCCTTAAGATAATATTTTGCACAAAGAGTATATTTTTAGGTTCACTTTAGTGTGCAGAATAAATAATAATTATTCTGTTGAACATCTTCAGACCAGCTGAGAGTGGTGAATCTGATTACTTGGAGGTATAAATCCAATTTTAAATATTATATAAAGATTCATTAATTGCATGATATTGATCAAGTTAATTCAATGAATATCATATTTCACCATTCATTTAAAAATGCCACGCTTCTAATGCGGAATGTAAAGGAAAGAGGCTTATCATGCCAAAATTATTTCATGATGACCTGCCCTTTATAGCCCCCTCCCTCAAGAATTTACTGAAATTCCACTTGTCTCTGTAAGGTCACAACATACAACATTGAAAATACCTTATAACCTAGCATAAAATGGGCTCATGAAGCAAATGTGAATGGAGAACAATAACACTTGAAACTTACTTCACCCTCCCCAGCTCTGTGATCCCTGACAGTAATGATCAATTTCCTAATAGTACAAGAAGTTTGTTAGCTTTGAAATTCTTGATGGAAGTTTAGTTGACATGGTATTCTTCAGAATGTTTTCAAACCAGAAGCATCATACCCAAACAATAATCAGAACATGTTGAACAAGGAACATTTATAATCAAAATTGTAAAAGTATAAAAGTCATAGAAATAAACCAATTAATAAAGAATATAACTAATGCCCTATATAAATATATTATATAAAATACTAATTTTTTATATTCTGAAAATAATAATATTAACTTAATTAATAACAATAGAAACCAAAAATACATAAAACCTGAAAATAGTTTTCTAAATATAGTTTCAACACATTACTTTACTCTTACAAATGTGTTTCTTTATCCAAGGAGTTCCCACTTACAAAATTATTAAAGAACATAGAAAAATTCAAAATTGGTTAATGCTGAAAATTTTAAATACAGCTATGCACAGAGAACATAAAAAATTTATGTGTTATACTGTATCAATTATTTACAGAAGCAAATGATGTAGGTACTGTAGATGATGTTTGTGATATAGATGTGATAGTGACATATACTGTTATTAAGTAACTAACTCTATGGGGCAGAGTTCTTATCTTGATGCTGACAGCTGCTAATTTTGCCAAAAAACAGCCTGCCTTTCATGAAACCTGAACATTCATTATCACATTCACAAGATCCTGCCATTGGATCATACCAAGAATACATGGCTTATTAAACAAGTAAAGAAATTTAACCACTTCCATTTTAATACATACATTCTTTATTCCATTCTAAACTGATATTAATTATTGAAATAAATTTACCTGTTAACTAAAGGATAGACAATGAAGGAAATAGTCTGAGACTTGCAATAATACTATATCCATCTGAAAAGAATTTGCAGTTCTTTACACCAAATTATCTTTACCACCTGGTGAGGAAAACAGCATATTCAAGCATGGTGTACCATAATCCGAAGAATTTAGTATTTGAAAAAACAGTCAGGAAGAAGTACTTAAATTGACAAGCAATGATTATAACAAGAAGATGCAGACGATACATCTGTAATTAACAACAACGTGGAAATCTGTTGTACTGCAGTTTTAGGGGGCATAAGCCCCCCTCCCATGTTTTCATTATTTACATGCTGATTTGAATTTTTTCTTAATTACTACAGATGTAAGTTGCTTGTTGTATTTAAATTTGTTGCAATTTTTGTTAAGTAGTTAAAGTTATTGGTCATGAACTTGGGCCAATTTTGTCATGGTTATACGAATGATGAATTTAAATTATGAAGCCTTTGCACAAGGTACACAAACTCTCGTTCTGGCGTCTACATAAAAAATGAGGGGAGAATTTCATTTTAGCTCACATCATAAAAAAACAGTACCTACTTTAAACGAACTTTATTGATTCATTCAAATAAACATTTTGCCATATTAAAATTAGTACAGGGCATAAAAAATATATATAATTACATTCTGCGTGTTGCTTTTTCTTTCGATGTGGTGGGTATATCTCAAAACAATGGAAGGAAAAATAATTTCTGTTTACGTGCATTGTTGTATCTGCAGCGTGAAACGTGTTTATGGTCAAACTGATTGTATCTGTAATAATGTAAACCAAGGGAATGCTGTATGTAAAATGAACAAACAACAACAAAAAATCGAAGTACTGTATATGAAATCCATTCAGCTACACTTTTTTATTGGTTTGAACAGAACTATGTAGTCTGGGCTACCCCCTCACTGATTTTTGTGTCATCGGTGAATAACATACTTGTACACACGTCTAAAATAAATTTGTCGTAAAGGTTAAAAGAGAGAGAACTCAAAGACAAGGATATTTTGCAAATATGGTCATTCTTCTTGAGTTAGAAAGTAATCAGAACTCAAAAGATATTACAAGCGTCAACCATCCCCCTCCCCCGGCCATTACAGGTGGACGACAAAAAAATAACAACTGTTTTACAGCAACTTACACACAATTTTAATTTCTTTGCTTCGTTTCAAATTAAAGCTGCATCGACCTGGAAACTCCAGTCGTCTTCTTGCGATATTCTTTTCGTAAATTAACCCATTCTGTTGTACGAAAAGGGTTATCTCGCGAAGGTAGAGCACGAGTACAATCTCTTTCATGTACGGGATTTGTGTTGAACTGTGTGGTTCAGGTCTCCATCATCACATAATAAAATAAACAAAAGTAACAGGGAATGTTATGCTTGTTCTATTCCTTGCATTGGTTTCGCAACGATTGAAAAAGGTAAGCGAAATGTATATTATCTGTTTTCAAAATGCTTGTACTTACGCGAAAAATAGCTAACATCTTAAGTACCTATCGCCTGCTTTGAATAAGGTACAAATAATAAAGAGATATGCAATGACTTCCTATAAGAAAGGACTGCATTTTACGAAGGCAGTACCTATTGCCTAAAACGTAATGGGAAATTCATTTCCCTTTGACGAATTCTTTATTACAGAATATCTTAAAAGAACGCGTCCATTTCGTAAATCCAGGAACATACCAGTAGGTTGTACACCTAAAACAAAAGTCTTGTATAAAACATTCACACCACACACATAAAAAAAAAGAGGAGCTGGTACGAACCTTGTAGAACCATACCCTGCTCAATGCACTTCTTGAAGCGACAATACTGACATCTGTTGCGCTGCGCCTTTGTTATCTCACAGTTGCCATCAGCGACGCACGTATAAACACGCCTGTTCTGTACCGTGCGTTTGAAGAAACCCTTACATCTAGAAACAACCAAAACCGACCCTAGTTCAAGCCATCCAAAACCAGTGTTCATTCACATCCTTCCATTCTTGTTACTGTTCCTTCCGATTTTTACTCGTACTTCGTGTATCCGCACGGACATTTCTGCTAAGTGAATAAATGTGCTTCCTTTCACACACCACTGGTGAGTTAAATCCAATTCACAACAAAGTTCCCGAGAGTTTCAAAATCGATGGTTTCGATTAATATTTGCATGCTTATTATGGGGCAAATATTGAACTCCATGTTCCAAACCAGTAGATCCCCAAGAAACGTCATTTCAATATTAAGAAATACATTTGTACCTGAAAGCTAAAAATTATTATAAAGGACTGGATTGCCGCACTCAACAAGCACGCAGACGGTGCCCATAACTGTAAACACGCAAGAGAATCCGAAAGAGATTCCATAGTGTCCTGGTCCCCTAAATTCTCTCAAACACAAAATATGTTTTTATTATAAGGATATTTCGAACGACCATCGTCTTATGGGTATTTATCACGCTATCGAGTACCCACAGTTTATTCTTCAGAGGGAAACAGTATCAAGAATAGAAGTATGTAAAAGATATACGAAGATGGTTTAGCCAGTAGATGTGACAGAGAATGGGGTACAGTAAACAAGAATTATTTTACATCCTCACACCACCCAATGTTAATATAACTGCTACTGACACCACACATACATCTCACTTCCAGAACTGAAAGGATGTACACGTTATAAAACGGCGTTTCAGTGCCTATCCCGTGTTCGATTATGGAGAAGATAAAATTCTGTGATCAAATGTCGGGAAGAACCAGAAATCCGCAATCTCGACCAAGATTCCTAGCTCTCTTGTGTGGGCTCTGCAATCAGCATAATGATACTGATTATATGAATGTCAGTCATGATGCACCTTGCAGTTATCTCTAGAATTCAATAATTAAACAGCTGTGGTCAATAACCACTGTGTTGTATTTAGGCAAAATAATTAGTTTTCAGTTTGAGTGAATATTCCACCATTAGCTTTCGTAGAAAAGCTGATAATCACTTAGCAGGACAAGAAATTCCTCACCATTTATGGAACTTAAGGTTCATAATCGTGTTCAAAGAAGCCCGCCACTGGACCTCATCCTGATCCAGTTGGCTCTAATCCAGATATTCAAATCCGATGGTAGGCCTAAGTTGTATTAATATCCTCCGACCCATATCTAGAGCTCTCAGATAGTCTCTTAAGAATTTCTGCCTCAATTTTGTATGAAGGCATATGTCTCATGTCCCCATATGTTTCGCCCATCCTCATCATTAATTCTTATTGCGGTATATAATAAGCAAAATGTTCCTCTTACTCGTCTTTTCGGTCTACTACAAATGGAATAATCCGGTTAGTCGCGTAACTGGCTAAGGGCTGAACGACAGGGGTTCTACTTGTGGCAGAGACAGCGATCTGCTCTGCGGGGATCCGTGGGGGGAAAGCTCTTTCCTTGGAAGTAAGAGAGGTAATTTCTCAAAACTACTGGGTTTTCGGACTTGTGTTTATCGTCCGGTATTCTAGAAACTAGAAAACACGATGTTTCGGAAACCGGATCTGTTTCCGTCCTCAGGTGAGGGGGGGGTGATACATACTCAGCTGGGTCCCCTAGAAAGAGCTAACCTCAATCACTGGTCAAGGTTAACTCTTTCTAAGGGACGCGACTGAACAGGTATCTCCCATCTCACCTGAGCATGGAAACAGATCCAGTTTCCGAAACGCCGATTTGTCTAGTTTTTAGAATATCGGACGACGAACAAAGTCCGAAACCCCATTAATTATGAGTGTTATATACCATCATCAGAACCCTTTAGAATCTAGAGGTAACTTTAGCTCCGTGATCTAGAATGCACGGAATTATATTGCATTGGTTCCTATCCGTCTTTAAGACTTGATGCCTGATAGCAGCGGGAACTGATCTCTTACTTTTCTGCAATTTAGATTTGACGTTTCTAACGGGTTACAGAATGTATTTAATATTATTATTTCATCATAGGGCTACAATCCGCTACACTTATTTGTATTCCTACAATCGGCGTTTCATACAGCGTTCTTTTAAGACAGGGATATATGTGAAGTGTCAGAACAGAGTGTCGATTATTTACAACATGTATTTATTCCACTTCGAACAGAAAAAAATCACGATGCAATGATAATTATATTCCATTTGTCATTCGGATTTTTTGTTTCACATACGAGAGCCGAACACCTATATGAATGTGGATGCATTGCATCGCAATATTTTGCCCACAGAAGCCGACAGAAAGTAAATCTGAAGAACTGTGTTTCAGGTCAACCTGTAAGAGTTATGTTAAGATACGAACGTCACCCCTGCTGAAGATTCTAACTGGAGTGGTGAGACCTGTCTCCCAACTTAACAACCTTGGATAATTGCCCGTACTTGATTATTACAAAGAGTAAAGTGAGATGGAGGTAGCTACTAGGACAGACAATCAATAAGTTCGTTCGTCAGTAAGAGATGGAGAACGACTCACCCCTCGCAGGTGATGATACCGTAGTGCAAGCCAGTCGCCTTGTCCTCGCAAATCATGCAGATCATCGGCTGTTCCTCTTCCTCCTGGTCTTCTTGGGGGTGACTCACCAGATGGTGCTCCGCCCCCAGAACAGGCATGCCAGGAGACAGCACTTTCTGTTCTCCATTACCACCATTTCTCTGCGTCCAAGGCATAGGAGTGCCTCCAGAGGTAGCAGTGGACGTCAGATTCAACGCCTGCATCTGTTGCTGTTGGGAAACTGGTAACTGCGTTAGATCCCCAGCCCATAACCTCTCCATATTCAGAGGAAGGGGGAACTGCGGAGGGCGGGAAGAAGATGACGCCACTGCCGTTGCCGCCTGCAGATGGTGGTGCTGCTGATCCTGGCCGAGATTTAGCAGCATCTGTGCAGCAGACTCTTCGCTGCCGTTTCCACTAGAACCCGGCGATGGAGACGAGGACCAGCAGGATGTGGATGTAGAAGTCGACGCGGCAGAGAGAAGTTGCTGGGTTGGCGGCGGCTGCTGCGGCTCCAGCGAGGTAGGTTGAGACCAGATCATCGTCCTTACTCCACCAGCCTCACCCATGATAACTGTAGGTGCGGAACGAAGGACTCCCGGAGACCCTCCGGTTGATCGCGACGATTGTGCGTGAGTTACTGGAGGTTTCATCTCATGGTGCAACAGAGTCATCGCGGATGTCGCCGTGCCTGACGGCTGAGGGTTGAAGTTCACACCTCCGCCACCTATCAGTTCGGGGCGGACCCCATTTATCCGACATGCAGCAGCTACGGGGCTACTGGGCGATGCCCAGAATGTAGGTGGAGGAATCATGCCAGGAGTTGTGACCACCACATTTGCACGCTGCTGCTGCTGTTGTTGCTGTTGCTGGGAGCTGGGCCCCTGTCTCTGCACCACACCTTGATGCATTTCACCACTACTACCGCCACCCCCGTCAAAAACACTATTATCACCGCCTTCTTTCTTCACCTGCGATCCACCCCCACGCGTTTCGCCGCCCTCCTCTTCTGGCGCCGTGTCCTCGCGCCTAGGTGTTCCCTCAGGCTGTGCCGAGTCCGGGGAAGCCCTGTGCGTCATATCACGAGAGTCACTAGAAGCATCGGCTCGGAAAACCAATGTCCGGGCGCTATTTGAGGTGAAATGTGAAATGTATAGTTTCATTATATAAGAATAGCACTAGAAAATATTAAGCCACTCATTCAAAACTTACAACCCAATGCACTGCATTGTTCTAGTCCCTTTTTCTTCCACTTTTTCGCTTTGTTGTTATATAGGTATTTATATTTTACTGCAACTTACTTCAAAATAGGATAAAATTAATCACAAAAATTTAAATGAGTTTTAAATACTTGATCCTTTGTTACTAAAATACGTATAAATCATCATAGGCTGACCTGGTCTCTGAAATATCTGCAGTAAAAGAATTATGGACAAAACTACTTTCCTATCCCTCACACTTCCAATTCTACAAATTTTGTGTTGTTAATTCTAAGTCATATTCAGACATTCTAGGATAGAGTCAAGTAACAACACAATTCTGCTCAAGGATTGCTTGCTGGGCTCGTGTGTAGGTTGTCGTAACATCAGATTTTACTCGAATCACAATAGATTAAAGATTGTTATGATTATTATATTTTCTTCTATAAGAAGGACAAACATTATAACAATATGGATTTGGTAAAGTATTCTTATTTATAACTATTACAATTTATTATAAAAATTTCGTGAAACGTCATATGGCATGTATCCAAAAGCACTGAATTTTGTACTGACGGTGAGAATTGTCTCAGTTTTATGTCCTTTAGATCGCTGGTTAGAATTAGATGGGTTGTGCTTGATAGTCGAGACACTCAGTGGCCGAATATCGGCCACTATCAATTATCCCATTTGCTTTATTCCTTCAGCCAATCCTATATTCATTGGTTTAGATCCTATATAGACTTGGTAGATTTTGATTTACTCGTTCAGCTATAAGAGTAATATCGACTTTCAAGGCCGCGCCATAGCTCAAGCAGTTAGTCGCTGGCTTCCCACGGCGGCGGCCCGGGTTCGATCCCGGGTCTGATCAAGTGGGATTTGTGGTGGACAAAGTGGGGCAGGTTTTCTCAGAGTACTTCGGTTTCCCCTGCCAATCTTCATTCCACCCATTGCTCCACAATCACCCTCACCTATCATCTAGGGCTGGTACAATAGGCCAGAAGTGGCCGCAGTACAAGGGACTGAGTCCCACCCCAGTAGCAATAAAAGAAAAAAATATGAATTTTCATTCTGTGCTTAACATAATAGAGTATGTCCGGGCTGTTAACCTGTATCTGTGCAACTGTTCTTGTGTCTCTGTCTCAGCATAATTTGAACTGTCTGATTTCTACTGTTTCGTTTGGTTAGTATTTGATTTATTATTATTCCCTTTTCGGACAACTAATACTTAAGTACATAATGCTTTGACATTAAGTTTGGTGGATATACCTTCAAAATTCTGAACTGTAGCCATGTTTGTAACTGTAGAGTTATCAACTATACTACATATGTAACTTATAGGAATGTGTGTAATCTATTCATATTCCAAATTCTAAAGGTCCATTAATTACAGCTATCAATCTGAAAAGAAAAATCAAAATCTTCGCACGGCCGTCCTTCTACAAAGCAAAAAAGTACTTTAGGAAAAGCTGCATGCCCTTCGAAAATCCATTACAATACGTCACTTAAGAAGCCTATATTAAGCGGCGCTAGTGTCGTTTCTACGAGTATATAACGTAAGTTCAAGAGTCCGACACACAGCTGTTACTAATTGTAGAAAATCAGAAAGTATGAGGTTGAGACTGCTTCCAGTTGTACAATGTCCATACTAGATTTCACGAAAATCAGTCGATTGGTTCAAACGTTGAAAGATAGAACACACAGATAACATGGTGACCTCATAAGGTCCTACAACTTTTACTAGTAGCTGGGCAGCTTCAAGCGAGTAATTTATTTACCTCTCTCGTATTAGCAATCCGCTAGCGCCATTTCTTTAAAATTTATTTAATGCTCCCTGATATTACGCAAGTATGGAATATTGTACCCTTCACTTGGCCAACACGACTGAAATATTGGTGTTTAGGACCTGAAGTCGCAATTCGAGTTTCAGATTATGGGCGTACCGAAAATGCCCTGTGAATACAATTATATACTAGTTCAGCCGTGTTGATTCCATATAGGTCTGATAAAAAGTTCCGAGGCTGAATTTATTACAGTAAATCTCAGCAAACAATTGGGGTGTTAAGCAGGTGGCAAAGTTGGAAATCCTTGCTGACTTTATCGATCTAGAACGATTTGTCTCAGATGTGAGAGAAATGTTGTTTTGTGCAGACATGTTTATCGAGAGCACAGCATTCTGAAACGGCCATTAAAGAACATGAATGCTTGAAACTGCATATGAATTGTGAGATGACAGACAAGCAAACCTACTGTACTAAAATAAACTCCATTTGGAGGTTAAATACTCAGGTCTCTGAGTGATCTTGTCTCTCTTAAATTTGACGTCATTCTGAGGAAGGATTATCAAAAATGTTGACTACCATTGAGAATGTAAACTGAGAAAACAGTCGTTCTCATTCGTGACAGTTATCAAGGTGACAATGGCGAATGACAGCTTGTGTTTGCGGCAGAAGTTAGCATCTCCTATGTCACACACTACATGATTTTTAACTAATGGCTTAGGAGTGATGAGGGTCGTTGCAAAATTCGCCACTGGGGACACGAGGCGCCGCCCCAGTCAGCATCTTCTGTAAGGGAATTCCTGGTCAAGCACAGCAGTCCACTGCCCCCCCCCTTCTACTCACATTATTTTCCTGATTTTGCATGCAGTGACTTTCCTTATTCCCTAAACTAACAGACACAAGGGTAACGTATTTCTGAAATTGCCAGAGATGGCACAACTATATGCCGTCGAATGCTCTCGTAAGAGAGAGTGCCAGAAATAGGTCATCATATGTGATGATTGCTCGGATCACTGTGTAAAACGAGAAAACAATTAATGCTATGGCGAAAAATTGTATTAACTGTTTTGCAGCCTCCTCAAAAAAAATGTACTGGAACTTTCCTATCAGACTTCGAATATAATATGACATAATGGTGAGATGGTTCTTCAAGCAGATCAGCAAGTGAAGTCACTTTTCCTCGTTGCACAGCAAAAAGGAAGGCCTACTGGAGGACTTCTGCTTCTTGGTAAATGAAAAAAAGAGAACAAGTTAGCTATTTTATGTAACAATAGCAGAATTTCAGCTACACGAGACAGGTAACTGATTCAGTTAACTGAGAATGCGTGACACTAAAACGGAATGAGGAAGAAATTCTTGGTTAACATTAATTATAGTAATAAAGATAACTGATATTTCCACAAAAAATCTACAGCAAACCCAAGCATTTAGATTACCTAAATGTATATACTAATATAATCATACAGACCTGTCCCTATGTGCAGGACTGGGGGAAGATCGGACACTCTCGGACGCCACTTTGGGGCAGGGTGACACGGGCCCCGCCATGTCCGGCGACGACGTACTGGTATCCGCCACGCTCTCGCCTAGGCAGACAAAAGCACAACCACACAATCAGCAAATCCCTCGCCTCGTCCTCTGGCATCTGCAGTGGACACAAAGTCTTACTTGACCTAGCGAGACAGCTCAGCACATAGTTTCATTCATTCTGTGGTTATTTAAAGACGCTGTTTCAACTTATATGGAGTAAAAGATGATGCGATGATCATAAATGTAAGTATAGATGTGGAAGGAGGTGGCAGTGCCCTGTTTGGAGGCTCCACCGTCTGGACAGTCACCAGGGGAATTACAAACTGATTCTTTTTGTTTATTTAACGACGGTTCAAATTCATGCAGTATGTAATGTCGTGTGGTGGTAATACGGTTAACGAATGACGAACTGAAAAGGGTGCGGAAGGCTGTATTCATGGTGTGTTTAATGTTATTATCTTGGGGATACCCTAGATGGGTTCAGAAAAATCATGAAGCAGCCTCAGTGACGATAGTTGTAAGAGGAAGGAAATCGAACAGTGTACCTCCTGGATGCAAGTCATCAGTTGGAATATTTTTGGACTCTGGGGTTCCATGAAGGGCAGTCAATGGCACCGCAGATACATTTCTGCGATTGGAAATATCGCTACATTTATTAACCTGAAAATTAAATTAAAAGTACAAATATGTACGTTCATTTTGCTCTAAAATAATATCTTAAGCTGGAGTTAGCCGGTCACGATAGCCGAGCGGTCTAAGGCATGCACTGTCTTCGCTCGATCGGAAGCAGGGATCGTAGGTTCGAATCCCACTCAAGGGCAGTGATGTTTGTGTGCGTTTTTCTGTGTTTGTGTACAGGTAGAGGCCTTGCGACGAGCTGATCACCCGCCCAAGGAGTCCTACCGTATGTGTAAGATCTAGAAAAAACCGAAGTGAACGGAGAAGTTCATGGAGGTAGGCCTAGGCCCACTGGGACTGTAGTGCCAAGGGGGGGGGAAAGCTGGAGTTAAGGTAAAAGAGATCTGAAAGCAATTGCTTTGAATGCGTCAAGATTCGACTCCTGCACTTCCCGAATACTACGCAAGAAAGGACTCTCAGAGTAAAGAAAGCAAATATCAGATTAGTCTCCTCTGAGAAACTTCTTGAAGAAATATTATAAAAGGAAGTTTCAATTATAACATTTTCAATGTGTTATTAGTGACATCAAATTTAGGATTACGAGATCAATGGTATATGCAATACGCATGGGAAAAAAAATGCGTACAAGATTTTTGTCGAGAAATATGAAGGAAGGAGACAACTTTGGAAAACTGAACGTAGAGACGAAGACAGTATCAAAGAGGTATTCAAAGAAATATGGTGTACAGATGAAGATTGGATTAGTCTGGTTCAGGATAAGTTCCATGGGCGCATTACTGTGACTATGCTAACGAGATTTCGGGTTCCATAAAAGGCAGGGAATTTCTTGAACATTAGTGACCCTATCAATTTAACAAAAAAAAAATACTTCTCCATGATTCTAGTACTCCAACTTTGGTTTATTTCATATCCAGCTGTCATGAAAGCAGATATGTTTTCTTCAGCCACTGCCTGACATATATGCTTCATTTTATGTCAGCTGGTTCTATCTTCATTTCACTTAAGGGACATTCATGAACCAGATATCAACATTTCATCAGGCCGAAAAGACAGTCTTTATATGAGAGCTTGCCTCAAGGCTCATAAGAACACAATTCTTTATCCGGAGACGCTGGCCTGCAGAAAAACGTAGGAAAAAAGGAAGTACAGAATGAGACTGCGAAAGCATGATTGTTTGGAATCCTGCATTTATTTCAGAACAAGTTTCGCTCGACTTTCATCGTTTTCCTCAGCTCCTCTACTCTTTCACAATCATGGTATCTAGTCTCTGTACTCTTCTCCAAGTATAATTATAATGATCAAGTCAAGGAGGATGAGGTGGGCAGGGCATGTAGTATGAATGGGGGGAAAAAGGAATGCATATAGGATATTGGTGGGAAAGTCAGAAGGAAAAAGACCACTGGGAAGACCAAGGTGTAGGCGGGTGGATAATATTAAAATGGATCTTAGAGAGATGGGAGGGTATGGATTGGATTGATCTAGCTCAGGATAGGGAGCAGTGGAGGGCTCTTATCAAAACGGTAATGAACCTTCAAGTTGCATAAAATGCTGGGAAATTCTTGAGTTTCTGCAGATTTGGCTTCTCAAGAAGGGATCAGCTCCATGAGTAAGTAATACGAATCAGTAAGGGCCGCGCCATAGCTCAAGCGGTTAGTCGCTGGCTTTCCACCGCGGCGGCCCGTGTTCGATCCCGGGGTCTGGTCAAGTGGGATTTGTGGTGTACAAAGTGGCGCTGGGGCGGGTTTTCTCCGAGTAATTCCGTTTCCCCTGCCAATCTTCATTCCACTAATTGCTCCACAATCACCCTCACCTATCATCTGGGGCTGGTACAATAGGCCAATCAGTAGCCGCCGTGCCGAGTGAATCCAGTTGGACTCCACCCTCCACTAAGCGAATTAAAAAAAAAATACGAATCAGTAAGTAAGTAAGTAATCTCATCTTGAGCAATTTGAATCTTCGGTTGCAAGATAATATACGTAAATAACAAGTGTAGCTTGTACTACAACCACACTGCAACAAACTCGACATCGCCTACACATTCAATTGCTCATTCACTCACTGCACTCTTCTTCACAAACCCGCGCCATTCATTTAAGTTTCTTACTGACTCAGTCAGTCAACATTCGCTTACTTATACACTCACCAACCCATTTACACACTGACTACCCACCAATTTACTTACTCACCGCCCACTCACTCACACACTCGCCAAACCAGTCAACCACTCGCTCTGACAAGAACTGGTAAGGACATTCAGTCTACATTTGTAAGGTTCTTATGCTAATGAAAATAGAATTTAGCTCAAAAATGAACCAATAGTGCAGAGAAGAAATCACAGCAGACATGGAAACATGCTTTGAGACTGAAACATAGCTGTGCCACCTCTGCACCTTATTCATCAGCAGACCTTTCAATTTAGTCGTGACCGAGGTGAATACAGTTACAGCCAACTTTACAAATACAATCCGAACAATGTAATTACATCATTTTCTGAACTGTAGAATAATAACACGTTGTTATATTAGTACATGGCCGGTCACGGTAGCCGAGCGGTCTAAGACATGTACTGTCTTCGGTCGCTCGGAAGCCGGGATCGTGGGTTCGACTCCCATATAAGGCATGGATGTTTGGTATGTGTTTATTCTGTGTTTGTGTTGTCCTGTGTTTAGGTAGAGGCCTTGCGACGGGCTGATCACTCGTCCAAGGAGTCCTACCGTCTGTAAAATAATAAAAAAAAACGAGAAAACAACCTCGACACCGTAAGATATAAGAGGAATGGATTAGGCATTTTCGCATAGTGGAGGGTGGAGTCCAGTTGGGTCCACTCGGCACGGGGGCCACTGATTGGCCTATTGTACCTGCCCCGGGTGATTATGATAATGGAGAATTTGGTGGAATGAAGATTGGCAGGGGAAACCCAAGTACTCGGAGGAAACCTACCACAGCGCCACTTTGTCCATCACAAATCCCACTTAACCAGACCCGGGTTTGAACTCGGGCCGCCGCGGTGGGAAGCCAGCGACTAACCGCTTGAGCTATGGCGCGGCCTTGATTAAGTAAGTAAGTATATCAGTATATATAAGATTTAAAAGTTTGTGATGATGGTGAATTGTTACAATTAATATGTTGCTGGACATTATCCATCATCTTGTCTGTTCTCAAAAAAACCGTCTAGTTTCTATTAAAAACACTTAATAGAAACTAGACGGGTTTTTTGAGAACAGACAAGATGATGGATAATGTCCAGCAACATATTAATTATATCAGTACATATTTAACACGAACTAATTTACAGACACAAAAATCCGACTTTTTTCTAATGAATTAGNTGGGAAGCCAGCGACTAACCGCTTGAGCTATGGCGCGGCCTTGATTAAGTAAGTAAGTATATCAGTATATATAAGATTNTGAGAACAGACAAGATGATGGATAATGTCCAGCAACATATTAATTATATCAGTACATATTTAACACGAACTAATTTACAGACACAAAAATCCGACTTTTTTCTAATGAATTAGGTATTAAGCATCAACAACAATACACCTCGACGTTTCAGATGGCAGTTTTATTCAGCTCTGCTTATTTTTACGATATATTTCTGTTGTTGTTAATGATAATGATATTCTGTCCCTCCAAACTGTATTAAGCATCAACAACAATACACCTCGACGTTTCAGATGGCAGTTTTATTCAGCTCTGCTTATTTTTACGATATATTTCTGTTGTTGTTAATGATAATGATATTCTGTCCCTCCAAACTGAATCATCGCTTACTTCAACCTCAACCTACTTCCGAAGAGTACTACAAGCGAGATTCTAAATAAGGCTCAATGTTTGGAAAATAGAAGGCACACAAAATTTGAGCTGTCCGTGCAGAAAAATCTGCATTGCAGTTTCAGGAATAATTGTTTCTCATGATGATTACTCACATTTAAATCTTTATTTCTTCGGCTCACATCAAAGTCGTTTTTCTGACCTCTAGGACACCTTCCGTTTCCATTGTTATTCCGATACTATGGAAATAAACTAATTGTCACAATCGCATTGTATTTCTTATGGGGGAAATATTTATTTGGATCCGAATGTAACAGAAAAAATAACAATGAATCCGAGTTTTTCTCCCTAAAAGGAGTAACGCGCTTTTACACTTAGCCACTCTCCTTATTGGTTTCCGAGGTAGAGAGCACGACAGACAGACGGATACTGTGAATTACAGCCATCTATATACTGTGGACTCCTGTGCCGATCACAGTGGCCGTGCGGCCTAAGGCATGAACTATCTTCGCTCGCTCGAACACAAGGATCGTGGGTTCGAACCCCACTCAAAGGCACGGATGTCTGTATTGTGTGCGTCTATTCTGTGTTTGTGTTTTCCTGTGTGCAAGTAGCGGCCTTGAGACGGGCTGATCACCCG